CCTAACCTACACGACTACCTTTACTTACGTAAGTAGACACCTACTACGTAGTAGGGTGGGTTACCGTACCAACGTAACTTACGTAGGTTACCGTACGTAGTAGTATATATATATATATATATATATATATATATATACACACACACACACATATACATAAGATTCACTCAGTGGTGGACTGTCACTTACAGACTTCATGAGTAAAGCAGAAGGGGATTTCTGCCCATCCCTGCCAAATCTTTGATTGAATAAATTGGGGTCAGTCTTCCTTTCAAAATAGGGAATTGTGGACACCCACTGCACTTTCGCTGTTGTAATGCTCCTCTGGACTTCCCATCACTTTTACATTCCATTTTTTCTTCCAGTGGAGCACAGAAGTCTTTACCACTTCCCAGTCACTGGCGTGGTGGACCATGGAGGTTTCCTCCTGAGGGAATTATAAATTTAATTTGCCATACATACACATGATTATACACTTGGAAAGAAGAGAGCAAAGCAGGTTTCCCTACTTTCATTTTTTTGGATGATTTTTTGCAGGTGGACAGCAATAGAAAGAAAAATAAAACTGTAGGTTGGAGCAAGTCCACATGGGATTCTCCTCGTAATAGTTGGTTTGGGATGACACTGCACTGTTCCTACAGTTGTGTGCAGTAGAGCTCCTCTTTTCATTAATTCTGGTTGCAGAAGGTTATTTACCTGCTCCTATGGTTCAGGTTGGGGGACTTCATCTGCTTTGTAATGCTGACTACAGAACATACATACACTGCTCCTATGGTTTAGCAAATGTTCCATATCCTCATAATTCCTGATGCAGGATGTCTCTTCCCTGCATTTATGGTTGAGTGAGTTATGATTTCTGCTCATAATACTGCTTACAGATATTACCTTCTTCATATGGTTGAGTTAAGGCAACACCACAACCCGTAACGACGGATTTGGTTTGTTGTACTTCTAACTCCTATGTTCATTTTGGGGCTTTGTCCAGTTTCAACTGAAAGCTAACTTCCTCTTTGTAATTCTGGTTCATGGCACATGACACTGTTTACTTATGGTTGGAGTTGCTGAGTTTATGTAACACAGTCCACATGCCCTAGCCACAGTTTTCATCCTACATTATGTAATAAGATTTTTTTTTTGCTCCACAACCTCTTAATTCCTAGAAGGAGTTATGAACCCCATCTGTCCAGTTGAGGTTGTACATGTATATAGATACTTCTGATTGCGTTTTACTATGCATTGTATCTCTCAGAACAAATAGCATTTGTACACATCCTCCTAATGCCGATGAAAAATTATGAAATCTTGTCTGTACAGTTGAGGTTTTGTATGTACATAGTTAATTTTGTTTATATTTTACTCTGTATTGCACCCCCCAGAATAAATTGGATTTGTGCACATCCTCCTAATGCTGAGGACAAGTTATAGAACATAGTCCAGTTTAGGTTGTCTATGTACGTAGTTAATTCTGATTATATTTTCCTATGGATTACACCTCTCGGAACGAATTGCATTTATGCACATACTCCTAATATTGAGGATGAGTTATAAAACCTCACCTCTCCAGTTGAGGTTGTGTATGTATCTGCCCTTATCAGATTCATTCCCTACTTCAAGGGCAAAGAGCGTACCCATTCTAGAAGTAGTGTGGTACCCCACACGTGTGTTACTAGTTCATCTCAGAGCACACCTGTTCATTCTGGGTGATCACTTTCCACTTGGTTTCTATGTTGTGCATCTAAACTGGCCCCTCAACTTTTGCAGTGTTTGATTCTAGCTTTGTGTGAACGAAGGTAAGACTGTATCAGAAGTTAACATTTTTCTTGCACTGAATATGTATTTCAGATCGGTACTTTCCTCATCTCACACACTTCACAGCCAGTTTTCTTCTTTTAGAACCTGCAAACTCTCGAAAGTGATGATTGAGCTAAAATAGCTAAGGTAGCTAGCTTCACCAGTATAGGTGGTGCTATAATATTGTTGTGGAGTAGTCACATGATATGTGCATGTTCAGAAATGGCACAAAATTGGTGCAGAAGAAGATTGGGATAATTATGTGTGGGAGAGGCTAATACCTATTGAAAATACATTTTCAGTGTAAGAAAAATGTTAACTTTTAAAACTTCTCAGAATTTTATGTTCTATTTTGTTTTTGTTACATAGCAAGAATTTCAAAATGTTTGACAGGATAAAGAAAAAGGACTGCCAGAATGCATTCTAATTTAAAATGCATAAGGTGTATGTTTGAACCCAGATATAAATAGCATTTTAATTTTTTGTTTTGGGATATGGTGAAAGGATTTGACTTAGGTATGCAATATAACGGATAATGGACAAAGTAAGATTAATTCCATTGTTTCATTTTTATTTTTGGAATATTGTGTTAGAGAAGATGATGTATGTTTATTTGTGTATGATTTTTTTTATATTTAGAATTATTAATTGTCTTTATAAATACAAAATGTATATTAGCCTTTTCTTTGTAGGATATTTGATGGGTGATATTGATGATTAATTACTTTTTATCATCCACTTGTTTTGTAGGTTAAAACAGAAAAGCTATATCAAGTAGTTAGGATCTTTCTCTTAAGTCTGAATAGCAGCAGATAATTGTAATGTCAAAAGACATTGAAAATTACAAGGCGGTATTACAGGTATGTGTATATTTTTAAAAATTAGAATTACAAATGGTTTGCTATAATATTTTAATTTAAGGTTATTTTCTTTGTACAGTTTTTAAACAATAATTTGTTCATATCAAGTTTTTTGTATATGATATTTAAAAACATGTCAGCAAGTAGCATTATTTATCAGAAGTGCTTTGGAACCCAACGTCAAAGAATATAAAGTGAAGTTTTGATTAGTGCTCACTCTTCCTAAAATATAGATTCTCTCATTGCCTTCCATTTCACAACTAGTCAAACAATATCAATCTTGAACAGTTCTTACTGTTACAAACTACAATATACAGCAAGGCATTAATAAGCATACGCAATATACGGATGAAGTAAACAAAATTAATGAAGCTCGTAAATTGAGAAATACTACTCTCCTCTCCACAGAGCTGATAGCTAATACCTTGTCTTACTGCTGAAAAGTTTTTTTGCATGAGCCAGGCCTTTGAATGAAACTTCCACCTACAGTTCCAACCTAACTAGTGTGCATTTGCACAGGGCCCCAGTTCAAAGGGGTCTTAATCACTGATAATAGGAAAAAAATGAAATGCAATAATGCAGTCAAACACCTTTTTTTTTTTCCTTTTGAAGCTATTGTGGATTAACCATAGCACAAAGTAACTTGCGAAAAGAAACAAAAATGCAAACCATTCATACATTAGTGTTGTTATTATTTTGTTCAGTGTATGTTTGAAAATACACATGTTTTCAACAAAAGAAAATTAATTATAGAAAAGGAACTGCTTAGCAAAGTTCTTAAACTGAGCAGTTTGTGTGAAGTTTAGACTGTGCTGAAGTCCATCCAGAGCCATAATGCTTATTAACAAGCACCTAAATGACAGTACAAACACATGAGTGATTAGCCTTACAGTTGGTATGTGTCAACAAACATTTTCAGTCAAAAGATAATCAGTGGAGAAACAGTTAAATGAGAATGGCTATTGCACTTCCCTTCAACTGGTGCTGTGTTCTGTTTTGTGTACATCCTTTTTCGTTTTTCAGACAAGAAACATGCTTTTTGTGATACATTCAGTGATTGGACCCATTCTGCTTAGTGTATTACAGAGCATGATAATAACACCAATCTGCTATGATCACTTAAGTTAATTGATGTCAAGTTAGTCAGTGTATTGATATTGAACTTTTGCTTCAAAATGACAAATAGTGTTGGCAAAAGTACTAAAATAAGTTATTTAGGTAACCAAATTTGTTGCCAAAAGAGGGCTCTCATTTGGTGGCAATGTTTCTAACAAGAATTTTAGAGCTTATTTCTAAATTTGATAACTTTCTCGTAAGTCATATTGAGAAGTTTAATAATAGAGGGTGTGGAAGGCCATGATATATTTCCTCCACTGTGTGCAGTGAGTTTGTGTGATTGATGGATAAGAAAGTTCCCTCAATAATCCAGAATGAAATTCACATTGAATATTATTTCATATCAGATGCAGCATCCATGATATGTCTCATGTTGATGAGTTGGCATTCATTGTTCATTTTGTTTATGAAAACAAAAATTTTGTTGAATGCTTTCTTAAATTTGGGCTTATATCTAGTAACAATGGTGGAAGTCTTGTAGAAAGTGTGCTGGTTATTCTTAACAACCTGGATATTAATATTTTGGATTGTTGTGGTCAGACCTATGACAATGCTACTGATATGTCACTAAAATATTCCAGGGTTTGGGCACATATTATCTCTTGCAACAAGTATTTTTTCCTGTGCATGTCACAACGTTTTAGTGAGTTACCTACAAAATTTAATTTAACTACTTCCTTTTCATGATATTTGAATAAATTTGGCATACAAATATAGCTAATAATATAGATTTTGATAGTATATAAGTTTTATAAGGCAATATAAAAAAAATCCTGAATTTTTTCCCCCTAGTAGGAGAATTGTGACATTTTCTCTCTATGCATTCTTTCTCTTTAATTTATTTACCACCTCTCCAGGAAGTATGAAATTTAATGTAAATTACTCATTATAGTATTGTCATTATTCAGGCAAAGCATAATTTTTATAACCTTTAATTATTTGTGGTTACAGAGCCAACAGATACAAAATTAAGACTCCTATTACCACACTCACCTGCCACTTCCTCTCTCTCAAAAATTGCTAATAGTTCTCTCTGACTTTTAATACTATATTATTTATAACAAATAGAAAGCCAAGGTTTTTATCTGTCAAATGACGAGTTATATCACATTATTTTCTGTACAGAGAATTGTCAATTTCACTTTCAGTTCAAGCTTTATTCCCATGGGAAACATGTTAACGAGCTTAGGTGAATCTTTAACAGCTCTTGTCACAGAGTTAGGAAGCCAGAAAAGTTGTTATAGTTATGGGACATTATCTGCTTTTGCATGTTATCATTCTGTGTTCTTTAGTGTATTATTTAATTAGATAAAAAATTATTTAGTGTAGTAGTACCATTAGTATAAAAACGGAAGGGTTAAATATTATTAACAGTCAACAGAAGAAAAAAAAAGGCCCAGTTAATTACTCTATTTCTTGTTTTTCATGTGTATTCTTTATTTATGATTATAAAAGTAACTAAAATGTAAAACTTGGAAACTTTTTAGGTTAGATAAGATTAGATTAGGTAAACCTAGAATAACAATAATAACAGTGTTTCATGAGGTACAATTGCTAGCATGTAGTGAGTACCTTGTGCATTATGCAATTCGATAGCGTAATGTGAGATGCATATTTGCCAAGTGATTTACAACTTGTGTGGTGTGAATATTAGTCAGATATGATTCAAAAAGCAATTAAGCAATAAAATTAAGTATTAACAGATGTATACTGTTATGAGTTTAAAGCTATTTAGGAGAAATAAATGTAGTTACATATTACAATTTAAAGTCATTCTAGAAAGAAAAATAAGGGTAATTTATGTAGATTTAGATTTAGACTAGTCAAAGAAAAGATCAGATATATTCATGGACGAATCATATGTACAAAAGACTTGTAATGTTTACTGCTAAATTTTATGAAGATACACTTACTATATTAAAAGTTATAGTATGTAAAGTACTCTGTGGTTACGAACTTGGTCAATTTGAGCCCATAGCTATGGAGTTAAATAGATAATTTCTTTATATATCTGTTGTGCTGCACATTTTGTTAATTTTGTTGGCAACCACAATGTCCAGTGCTGCCTACAAGCAATGAATGTTTTGGGCTTCTTCCAATTACTCTTTGCCTTTTCTGCTCGCTCAATGCACCACTGGAAAAGCCTTACAGAGGGACTTAAGGAAAATGAAGATGAGTATGTTTTGGTGCTAAAATCTGTTACTAGCATTCGTTGGTCCTTCCACACTGAATTCACAAAAGTCCTCTGTTAGAATTACAAAAATATTTTAGAAGCTCTGTATAAATTCAGTGAAGACACACTGAATATAGTGCAAGCCAAAATGTACCTTCTTGAAACTGCATTTGTGACTGGGCTATGGAATGATATCCTTTACTGATTTCAGTCAATGAGCTCCACATTTCAAACAAGTTGAGATTGACCTTGGTTCCAGTGTCGAGTTCCTGGAATCACTGGGTGATTTTTTTATCACACCTGAAGGATCAATTTGATTAAATGGAAGCACATGCGAAGTCAAAAACATCAACTGTATTACTTGCTTACTACAGTGAAATGCATTGCATGCCAAGATATTATCAGCAGACAAATGAAGCCAATAAATTGAATGCTATCTGTGGAGTCCAGAAAAATTCAGAGTCAAAATGTTAATGTTTAACACCGTCATTGATAGTTTGAAAGTGGTCATGCAAAATTGTGTAGAAGTCAAAGGATTTTGGGTTCTTGCTAAACTTTGACATTATGCTCCACACAAGAATTCGTTCAGCAGCTGCAGCTTTGATTTCAAAATATCTATCTGATCTTGAAGCAACTTTACCACACAAGTTTGAACAGTTTTGTTTTCTAACAAAAATTGAAAGCAAATCTCTGATTAACCTTTTAAAGCAACTGAAGGTTCACCAACTGAAATCAACTTTTCCAAATTTAGATATCATTAAACAAAATCTGGAAGCAGAGTGGCCATTCTCCAAAATGAATAGAATTGAAATCTTTGATCACTCAACAATGGAGTAAACTGGAGAGAACATGCTCACATGTTCAGTGAGAGTGCCCTGATGAGAAAGCTGGACTTCAGTGAGATAACTGAAGACTTTGTAAGCTTTTGATCTCAGAAAGAGAACCTGTAGTATGTGAAGATAAGAGCATTTTTATTATGCCAGGTGTCATGTGAACTGGCAGAGTACCTTTAACTGAATATGGATGGGGTCAGTCCATTGGGCCAACTTTGTATTAGAGAAGGAATTGATGACATCAGTCTGACTCAGACACTGACACATTGGAGTGAAAGGTAATTTTCATGTGAAGAATATATGTATTTTTTTGTCCATTGTACAGTTTGCATTTGCATAACCTCTAAAACATCTGAAATGCATATCTACAATTCTGGAAAAACTTTGCCTTAAAAATCCTGATTTTACTTTTTGTTTTCCCCTGTGCCAAAATTTGAGCCCCCTTCATTGTTTAGCTCAGTTGATCATTCACTGTACTGAAGGTGACAAACAGTATCATCACACACTTAGTTTCCAACTCTCAACACAAGTCAATCATATTGTCAAGTAACTACATGCTTATCCATATTCTCCCAATTTGGCATGTGTAATACAGGCATAAGCCAATCAGTATGTTCGAGCTAATCTCACCACCAAAAGGTTGTGAGTACCAATTACATGCATTGGTTGTTTTTAAAAGTTTGTGCCAAAACATTGACTCTATATTACTTGATAGACATAATTGGATTAATTATTATTAGTAGAGTATAGAAAGGGTGTTGTCTTTTTTGGCACACTGAATGTTGTACTTTTGATTGTCACAGGAGGTAATCATTAAATTGTCAAGGGATGTGCCATAAAGTAGTATCATCTTAAGTTGCCCTATATATATAATAGAT